CAGGACTTGCCTTCATATTTAATGTTATAACAAGTGTCCCTGGAATTCTTTGGCAGTACAATGCTTGTTTCATGGTGGACTTGTAAAGATTCTATGGGGACAAACTCATAAAAGCCAGTTGTCTACAGAATTACAGTCATCATGAGAACTCCCTTTATTCTCTGAATGTGCATGTATAACAAAAGAGAGTGAAGAGAAGGATTTAAGCAATACTGATACATTTAAAAGTTTCTCACAATTGTTCCTAAATTTTATAGCATTTCTGTTTCAGAATTACTTAAAACCAACATCTACTCTCAAGCAGACGAGGTGGACCAACTTCTAGAATCTAAAAACCTTACTTATTCTAAGACACATGTACAGTATGTTGTTCTGGTTGAATATAGTAAGTAACAAAAGCAAATGCAAAAATGGGTGAATCTAGGATTTTGGAAAGGGGGTGTTATAGATGATGTGCCACATCACATATAACACGACATGCACTTTTCTCCAGTTAAAGAGAAACTAGAAGCTTGACTAATAAGCTAGCGGCCTAGCACTATATTATTCAGTTTAGGATGAAGGCAAAAAACATGTAACTATTGGAATATTTGTTAATTTGCTGGATTATATATTAAATTTAAAAACCACAACAAGCTAGCAAAAATAGTTAAAATCATTAAAATATAGTGTTGCATTAGTCCTGTAGTTATGGTTAAATGTATGTGTCTTATTCAGATTCATAAAACAAAATCTGGTCTTCCTGAGCATCTTGTTTCCAGTACTTCACTGTCAGTCATTTCTATACCTTACTTAATATTACAACTCCTGTCTTAAGATTTTTAGCTTGACCTAAAACCATCCTGCTGAGCTGTGAAATAGAAGAGAGATATTACCAGGAATGGCTAACAGCAAAAGTATGGAAGACCACTAACAAGGAGAGAGGACCATTAACACATAGAGTTAAGACAGATTAGCAGGAACCAGTAGATTATAATGAGCTTTGTAATCAGTTGATTCCCACAGCACTGCCTGAATAGAAATGTTGATGATATGTGGGTAGAGCAGAAAACAAAAGTGTGGAGGGTGCAACTGCACCACTGAGCCCTCCTTAGACCTGCCCCGAGTGCAAATATGCCCTCTATCAGCTTAAGGTTCCTTTATGTGGCTGGAGTGCAAATTACAAGCAGCCCAACAGATTTCTCCCTTTTTTCTTCTCTTCTTGCTCCCAAGAATGATGCCATGTGTTGTTTTGATCCACATCTAACACCCTGACTATATTGGAATTAACCCTCTGGGAGTAATTTTTATGCCTACCCCAAATGTTGGTAACTTAAATACGATCCATTGGTGCATATTATGACTTTCCTTGTCTACAGAAGTAGGGATTTCCATACGTTGTAAGCCTGATTTCAGATCAAAAATGGCACTTAACCTAGGAGCTTCTCAATTGTAACTGGAGACTGTCAAGATCTACAGTTTACAAATTACATATACAATGACGGCATACAGTGAAGTCTGGTTTTTCATCAACTTTTAGAGCAGACAAACATTTCTTTATATAACTTAATTTTAGGTATAGTAACTTTTTCTGGTAAGTAGGAGAATGCTTCAAGGTGGGCTGTGTTAGTCAGGGGCATCTGCTTATACCTTATGTGGGAAGCAAACTTCCCACATAGTATGCTGCTTAAATGAACACACGTAGTTGCTTTATTCCCAAATACTTCTGCACTTGCTGAAGCTGTGTTCAATGTCAGAGAGACTATAATTTTTAAAACATAAGCAAACATTTGAAAAGATTCAACATGAGATCATATTGTACTAAATAAAATATTTTATGAATTTCATCTTCTAAACTTTTTATTTGGCTACTTTTGCATTTGATGAACAGAATTGAGACTCTGACTCCTGTTTGGCATATGGTTAATTATTTAGCGATGGCAATAGCTTGCTGCATTCAGGTAATGTTTGGGGGGTTTTTTGCTACTGATCGCATTGCTAATTGCTGCCCCAGTAATACAACGTAAGTCCATTGTGGGGGAAGCTTTTCACTTAGGATCTCTTCTACTCTCTGTAGAACAGGGCTGGGAAATTAAGCATGCCTGCAGGATTAATACACCCCTGTGTATGGATGTATCATGGAGCCAGGATTCACAGAGGTGGAGGGTATGAGTACTGGAGAGACTCATGCAAGCATTCCAATTCTTTGGCTGCCACTGCTGCATCTGTGACAAATAGCTGTGAGGCAGAGAAACCATTTAGAGGCGTTGCAGGCTGAGAACTGGAGAAAATGACCTGAGTTGGGGTGATATATTGATATATAAATTTTGAGGTGAAAATAGTATGTAACTGGTGCTTTTTCTGGGGGTGCATATGCACATGGGTGTTACATATATTTGTGTGTTCAGTATCTTTTCTGAAAAATGACATGTATTTTGAGCATCTTATTTTCTGCTAACGTTTTTTTTTGCCTGCATTAGATATGAGTGGACACAAAGGTAGGTCAAATGTTGCTGTATTCACTGATTCATCAACATAGCACAGAGAACTAGGATGCTGAGTGCACATACTTCATTTTTAGTTTTCAGTGCTCCTTTTCCATGTTGTATTTCTGTCAGTAAACATTTTTACAACACTGTGTACAAAAAATGAACCGAATAGAGAGACTGAAGTGAATTCAAATTTAAGTGAATATCTACAGCAAGTTTTAAAGGTGTTTGGTCACCTCTATTAATAAATGAAGGCAATCCCCATAAAGGCCTTTCAAATGTTCAGTAATATAGCTATAGAAATTTGTGAAAATTCTACAGTCATAGGTTTAAAGTGCAGTCACTTTGGCATATTTCCAGAAGCTTTCCTGAGGGCTGCCAGGCAAACATGTTCTCATTCTTGCAAAGTACAAAATAAAATATTGTACCTTACTAGAGCCTAATATATTAGGCTTACCATTCCCCTTGACTGAAAGCAGAAATTATTATTTTCCAATCTAGTCATTAGTCAAGGTGACATTGAAGCGCTAAGCCTACTCCTTTACTCCTGATATGCAACCCTTAGAAAAATGGCAACCATACTGGCCATACTTAAGAGGAGGAAAGGACTGAGTTTAAACAGTAATGATAAACCTAGGAAGTCAGGAAAATGGATTATGGCCTTCAGAGACAGAAAAACCTTTGACAAGATTTGCTGAAGAGGGAATCTCCCAGCAAAAGGCCTGGATTTTGTTACTACTTTTCCCTAGAACACTATTGTAAGTGTTCTATTGCACAATCATTCTAAATGCCTATGTCCCAGTTTAGACCTCCACCCCCCCAAATTACTTATGTGGCTGAAATTTCATATACTTGGCCCCCACCCAAAATATCCTCAAAAACCCAACATTGCTTTGGACTTAATATGGGATGGGAGGAAGAGACAGAGTAATAAACTAACCTGCTGTTCTAGTGCTTTACATCAGCCAATTAAAAAAATAGACTTACATGGAAACTTAACATCAGGGGCACAATAAAGGGTGCCAGAATCAGTTCACCCTCTCTCGTGTATGAGTTGGGAACTATCTAGCACAGGTACAGCTCCCTACAACCATGCACAGTCTCCAGCTATCCAAAAGGAGACAAGAACTGTCACCATGTACCTTCCTTCAAAATCAGGTAGCACAGCTGGACAAGCTTATCAGGGAGTATACACAGCATCCAGCAGAAGTGTCATAGTAGGAGTAAATTTGGAGGATGCACTTACCATATTCCCAGCACAGTGGTTCCTTCCCATCCCTCTCTGCTATAATCCATGGTTTTAGTCTCTGATTAATGTGCAGTCCCAAATGACAATTAGAATCTATACCACACTTGGAAGAACTGGTTCTGAAACAGTATTATGAAGGTTTAAATAGTGTTTTGAGCTACCTTCTATGTATATACCTGCTGAACTATAAATGAGGTATTGTCCCTACTTTTGTCAGCAAAATATCATTTTACCAAACTCTTAATCCTATACATTTCACTTGACTTATTTTCTCTCCATGAGTTTTCAGTTGAACTGGAAGAAATAAACTGATATATGGAGAATCAGTTCCATAACTTCACAATGCAGTTTTATTGGAAAGCCAGTTATATATAAGAAATCTGTAAAGATCCTATTAGACTTGAAGCAACTTTTATTAATATACTTCTTGCCAAAAAAGAAACGGAAATAACCTTTATGTTTCTTGGAACATTAGCAAAGGGAGAGCAGTATTCTCTTTTCCCGTAACAATAACCTATCCATGTTACATTTTCAGCTTGCCACCCACACAATGGTGGATATAATTTTAAAGTTAATAGTGCAATAAACCCAAACAGTGATGCTGCAGATATTAAATGCATTCCCAGATAAATAATATATTCAAGTCAGGCTAGAGAGCAGCAGCTGGATATTTAAAACAACCAGCCTTGTTGGCTTCAAATGACTTCATCTTGTTTAATTATAACGGCTAAGAAAATTTTGGCTTGGCCAGTTTTTGGATATCCCGTTGTATTGCTTTTGAAAGCAATGGCTGCTTTTAACTATTCTATCACTCTTTAATATGGTTGTGTTTATCTGATGTTTTTATTCATTAGCTGATGACACTGTGTTCTGCCAAAACAAAATGTAAGGTCCTCATCCTGCCAAGGCTTCTGTGAGAACAGCCTGGTTCACCCAGAAGGGGATCTTTGCATGATCACGACTTATAGTACAGTCAATGGAAAAATCCCTATTTACTTCATCCTCTGGTCTGGATGTTATGTAATGTACACTACAGTCCAGTCCAGTCCAGTCTACAGTTAAACTTTGGAAACACTAAAGTGGATCTCCTGCCTCATTTTGTAGGGTTTTAATAATCAGCACATCAGTGGTGATATCACACCCTGTATGTAACACGTAGTCTTGAATTGACCAGCTCCCACTGCCTAATTCAAGTTCAGAGAAGTCAATAGTCAGCTACCTGTCGAAGAAAAAGGGTCTTTGCAATACACATTGTTAATTTGTCATAACATTGTCTTATAGACTCTCCTCTTGCAGTTTTGTTTGCTATCTTTCCTCTTCCACATTTTTATCTACTGTATTTTTTCATAAAAAGGAAAAATATACAAAAAGGGGTGGGGAGAAAAAGGAAAGTAGATTATGTCTGAGATTTTATTTGGACGCAGTCTCCTACCTCTTTGTATTACATAAAGGACTACTATTACATGATCAAATATGTTGATAGGTGAAACTGATATATTTGGCAAATGGAACAGTATAATACAAAGGGATTTAATATTCCCTTTAGATGCAATTTTACATGCACTATTACAGCATACACACTTGAACTGAATGGGTTATTACTTCTGAAGTAATCAGAATCACAGACTGATTTTTTTTTATACCTAACCTACTGCATCTCAACCTTTGCAGACTGACAGCACCCTTTGATAG